GAGAGAGAGAGAGAGAGAGAGAGAGAGAGAGAGAGAGAGAGAGAGAGAGAGAGAGAGAGAAGAAGAAAGAAAGAAAGAAGAGAGAGATAGAGAAAGAAAGAAAGAAAGAGAGAGAGACTGACCACTGACGACTACAACAAGACTCACAAAGTCTCAAAGTCACTTAAACTTAACTATTTCTGAAACGGATTCGGAGCAGTATCTACACAAGATACTAAACTAAATATTTGATTGAAGGCTATGATGAACTACGTGCCTAAAATTTATTTATTGTGTATACATCATGTAGTGAATACTGACTAGTGAATGCCTGTATGGCCAGTCCATTTTCATTCACAATACAATATACGTAAGAGTGTAATACAATACTTGTATACAGCTGTATATATACTGTATACAGTAAACACAAACTTCAGCTAAACAAATTCAATCTTGTATAATAAACATACACTCTGCTGAGTCTGCTCTTGACAGTCTCTTGTGTGAGAGAGTCGAGTGAGATTCTTGAGACTGAGAGTGCCAAGAAGTGCCAACAGCCAACAACTCTGCACTCTGCACAGTCTGCAGTCTACAGCTGGACTTGGGACAAGTTGGGGAAAAAAACAACTACAAAAAAACAAGTCAAGACGCCGCGAACGGAGAAATCACTCACAAGTGATAAGTCACAGTTTTGTTTTGAAAAAAAAACATTTTTTTTTTTAGAACCCCCGCGGAGGGGGTTTGAGCAAAATGTGAGAGGAAGAGTTCAAGAGAGCGAAAACTGCTATTATCGTTCGATTTCTATTGGCAACTGGAAAAGCTATAGAGTGCGAAATGTGGCGACTGTCCCGACCCAGCTATGAGCTAAAGCCTAAATACCCCGTAAATACCAAATACGGCTCAGTGGCTAACGAGTCACGACTATATACATAGTCTCGACTCACGAATCACGATTATTCACTTTTTATAGGTTCAGACTTCATACTTCAGAAGTTCAGAGTTCTTTAGAGGGTCTACAATTGTCGAACGTATTTAAATAAATAAAAATGCACATCATTGTGTATAATGATATATAGAAATGCGAATATATACAATTGTAAATAGTTGTACTGTGTGTTATTATTGTGTGTAGTGTTTACAACAACTGCACATAGATAATATCCTTTATAATTAATTTAAAAAAGGTGATGTATTTCGCAAAATCACAATAGGTCTAAATAACTTCGCTCACTTACGGTTGCTCTCAGGTCACCTCTCTCTCTCTATCGTCTATTGCGCGCGCGCGCGCGCGCGCGAGAGCGAGAGAGAGAGAGAAGGAGAGAAGGAGAGAGTGAGTAGTGGGAGTAGTATCTAGCTAGTGGAAGAGTAAGAAAGAAAGTTTATATATATATATAAAAGTTCGATGAATTGACGGCGAGATAATTATGAATTCTTTAGTACGGAAGAATATGTATTTCTAAGATGTCTGATCCTCGGAAGCATTATTGCTCCTTTTTCTCAGGTGAACTACTAATAGCATCGTCCTTTTTATCATCGGATTTCTTCTTGACAATCCCATTGGCTTTATCCTGCTCTTCTTGTAACCAGTCCAAAGCTTCCTTTGCCCGTACAACCTACGATCGCAGGCATAAATTCCGATAAGCATTTAGTATTTCGTATTCACGAACAAGGTAACAGTCGCAACTAATTTGGGATAAGTCTACCAATTGCTGGATTTGTACGCTATACACACTCCCTTGTGCAAGCGAGAGGGATATGTCGCACAACGCATCCAACCATCTCCGGCATGAACCCAGCGCGGAGGTTGATATACACATCGACACTAAAAAGCCAACGATAGCTACATGCTGCCTACAAGTCATAGACTGTAATCCATACTTTTTCAAATATGACAACGCAACATAGCAGATACAATAACCCGCTGATTTATCGATTAATATGTATAGACTGCTATTCAATGATACGGAATTGGCCTAAACGCAATCAAACAAAGACACACGGTAGTGTCCAGTGAGCAGGTTACATAAAACGCTAATATACATGTTGATTAAAGTACCAAAAACACATTCCTTCCCACTTCGAGCATACAACAATCGAGAATTTACCACTCATACCTTCGATTGCAAATAGAAAGATCCACCCTTCTTCTTCTCATTGACCGCAAAAAGATGTTCGAAATGCTGTGAAAATATGATTCGCGTTCAGACTTAGTTCCATAATTGAATTAAAGCCTGCATATGATGGACTCTAACCACAACAAGCACTTTTTAAGACAAAAGTGTAAGATATTTCAACTACTATCCAGAGGAAGCAACGCATAATTGCTGTGTAAAAGTATACGATGGGGGAGAGGATGTATTGCTTTGATCCTATTGTATCATTCAAACGAACAAATGCACACGAAGTGTTCCCTCCAAGACACCCACAGAAAAATGCAGATCACTATTCAGGTGAAAAAAGTTTATAAAAACGAAAATAACGGCTTACCAAAATAACGGCTTAGACAGATAAAGCAACAGGTCATTGGCACATACACACACCATGCGCACAAAAAATATGCAGCATTAAATAAAGCACTGAATACAGCTTATCCAAGACATATGTGCAAGTATACACAGCAATACCTGCATAAATGTATATGTGTACACACACGCGCATATAATAATATATATATATATAAATAATAATATATAGCAATATAAACAATGTATATCAAAAATAGAAAATAAACGAGAAGAAAAAGATACATGCATGTAGATAGAAAAACATAAATGTCTACATACAAAAATACAATATAAACATATTTACAGGCATATCAAAACACAATAAATTTAGATCAAGTCAATAAATATAACATACATACATACACATGCATTAAAAAGTACGAGTACGAGTATCGACATACATGTACACACAGACCCAGACCAAACAAACAAAACACAGACACACACACACGTATATATACACATAAAAATACAATATATCTAAATATAAAGATGCATATAGATATAGATGGAAATATGTCTATCCAGTTATATATATATATATATACACACATATATATAAACATATATAGTTATACATACAGATTTAAAGACAATATAGATATATACATTATATATACATATATATATGTATACGTACATGCAAACCAATGTATTTGTGTATAATTATGAACATACGGAGATAGATATGTCAATGTGTAATTATATAATATTTCGTACATATATATTTGAAAGGAACCCAAAATACATATGTGTGTATATGTATACACATATTCTAAGATAATGTGATAAATGTTTCTCAATATATATATACCTATATTCAATATATACATACCTATATATATATGTATACACACCTATATATATATGTATACACACACACACACACCCAAACACACATATATATATTTTAGTTATAGCAACAGAAATGCAAGTAGTCGTAGTTCGATAAATATATATAAAACATATATTGCAGATATATACATATTACTATTGTAGATATATACAGACAAGTATATGTATGACATATGTACATAAATGTGTGTGTATATGTATTTGAATAGATATACGTATATATATATATATATATATATAATTATAGACACACATATATAGATATATCATACATATACACACATATATATAATGTATGGAAGCAATACTATATAAATACATATATACCTCCTTATATATGCACATATACAAACACACACGCACGTATATTATATATATATATACGTTTATACACATATAACACACACACACACACATATATATATATATATGTATATATATTAAACACGCACACACACACACACACAGATATATATATATATATATATACACTGCTGGTTATAGGACACATACGCGAGTATAGATAGAAACTTAAACATACACACTCGCTCAGATACATACAAGTACAAAGCAGTACATCATGTATGCGCCTGAAGAAGTGTAAGCACAGAGTATACATCTTCGAATAAACTATAAATTTTCAGGGCATATTCACACTGCAATATGTTTATAGTTCTATACCTGTGTATGTATATATATATATATACGAACGTGTACATTTATAGTATGTACGCAGATACAAGTATATGTAAATGCGTGTCAAGTATACTTGGTGGTAGTCGTACCTGTCTCAGTGCTCAAAATAGGGGTTACTAATCACAAAATTACCACACACCAAGACACCTTAAGCGCTATACGATCATTATTCGACCAATCATTGAGATGAATTCGTATCATGACCGATTCGTATCATGACCGAATAAATGCATGCACGTAAGCATCAGGCTACATATACAAGTCAATAAATGACGACATGTTCGATATAAAACTCACGAATAACAACACATGAAAAAGCTACCAACCAATACCTACCTTCTTGATCTGTTCCGGCGAGTCCTTCTCACTGACATTCAGCACCTGTCTGGCCTGTGCTATGTCTATGCCACCGAATACCAACTTGGCATCTGGGACCTTTCTTTTTGACCCCGCCTGTGCCCCTGCATTGGCCCCTGCATTAGATGTATTAGCCCCTGCATTAGCCCCTGCCTGACTGTTCTGTGCCGCTCTCTTACCACCATTGGCGGCGGCCTGCCTGTAGGCGTCGGCAAACGCTCGGGTGACCACGTTGGTGGTGTATATTAACACCTGAGCTATGATTTTAGACGCCATGGTGATGGTTAAATATTGTGGAGAACGGTACGTATATGATTAGGGTAGGGATAGGGTTGAACCTCCAGCTGTCACACTTCGACTGTCACAATCGCCTTGATATTTATATATCTATATATCTCTTTAAAATATGGGTGTACATGGAATATTCTTTTGCTATCGTTGTTGGCGTTCCAAAATAGCTATTAAAAAAATGAACGTCACACGTTGCGCATTGCGGTGCGTGTGACTGTAAACGCCGATGTGTAATCAAAAATACTTTCAAAATTTGGTCATCAATTTATACATGTACCGAACTCATTAAAATGCTTTTCGTGAGTCATCTATATATTGGCACCGCCGGCTCCAGCTGACTAATGTTTATTTACATGGTCAAGAGATTCGAAGGAGGTTTATTGGTGGTTATATAAATATGGGTATATCTATACCTGTGATGCAAAGTGAAGGGGATGGTGTTTTGTGTTTACATTCTATGTGATTCGAACACCGTGCACGATGGACGAAGCCGACGACGACGTGCTGTTTAATCTGGATGAACCAACAAGCCCCAAAGCGAAGAAAATACTGTCAGAACTGTTCACGCAGGTTACTGGGGTTGTATACAATGACGGTAACTCTGAACAAGATGCTGCGAAAGCGGAAATGAGTACCAAGAATGTGGGTCTGGAGGGGAAAGCAAAGAAGTCTATAGCTACTAAGGCGTCACCAGGTAAATCAGCTCAACCGGACAAAAAGTATTTGAATACAAAACAAGGGAGTTCGGATAAGTCAAGGGGTATAGGAGGAGAGCCAGCGAATGAATTGGCGAAGGCTACTCAAGTTGCTCACAGAGAGGAACACATCACTCCTGTCGATAAGAACACAATTGGGTCTAGTGTCGGGAGGGATATATTAAGTAATCAAAATAATACTACCAATGCACAAATTAAACCGCCAACCAGCACCGACCATAAAATAGTCGATGATGTTAGCCAGACTGTATCCAAGGTCAAAGTTGATTCTCCGCTATCGAGAGCAAAGAAAAGCGCGAAACAGATGAACCCGAGTAGGAGATCGCCAATGATCGATAAGGCATCTTCGACATTGAACAGAACAACGACGGATATATCTGGGCATGTATTGGAAGAAACGGCACCTAAAACAATGTCTGAACTCCTCGCTGCCGATGTTTTAGACGTAAAAGCGCTGCGGAATCTTATCGCAAGATCTGGTATGTCTTGTAGTGACGCCTGCCTTGTATACTTTGTTCATATACTAACGTGTATATCCATAAACATCTAGCTTTTGTACTTTGATCATTACTTTGATCATGCAACTACAAGAGATCTTGAAGACCTTTCCTACCTTGATTGTGTGCGGTTTACTGTATATACCCACACATACATACAAACACACACACACACACAAACACATACACGTGCTCTCTCACACCCACATGCATACATACACACACATATATGCACAAACACAGACGTGGACATATACACACACACACACACACGCATACACAC